CTATGAAAAAAAAAAACTTTTTATATACGTACTATCTTCTGCATTGTTATTCCTATCTATAATCTATCTCTGTTCCAAATTTCATCTCTATCCCTTCAGTCGTTTTGACTTGAAGAACAAACGAACAAATTTTCTCATTTATAATATTAACTAGTAGGATTCAGTACTCCAGCCTAATTTCTAAATTTTATCAATGTAACATTTTTGTCAGCGACTGTACAATAGATGTTTCGGATTACTTTTAATAAAGTTTCATAAAAAGTTTATCCGTTCTGAGCTTATCAATGAGAAACGAGTTCGCCTCGGGCGTTACCAAGGTACGGGTGCAAATTTATCATATTCATGCACTATGTAATACATACATACTATGTAATTTGATCGTGACTTTGTATGGGTTTTTGACATTTGTTTCCAAGTTCCGTAATAGAATATCTTCATCGTAATAGAATAGCTTCAGGCAAAAGGGAGTTGGACGTATACTTTAGAAGTCTAAAGGATTACTACCCAACTGTTGTCATCCAACAGCCTGAGACAGACTGCAAACTTAACAAAGATTGGACAACAGCACTCTCTGACCGGGCCTGTGGACGGCGACCAAGGGAGGTTGTCGCTCGATTAGAACTAGATCCGTACGGTGCGTCGTGTTGCGTTCGCGCCTCAAAGAGCCATCAGACCACAACAGATGGACCCCAATAGGGCTGATGTCGATACGGAGCCGCGGAGGACTTACAGAGTTGTTACCAGTAAGAGTCTGACACTCCCTCTCGCTTCACCCGGGCGGGAAAAGTCATTGGATGACTTTTCCCCTTACAAACCGCTCTTTGATAAACTTGAACCTTTTAAACTGCCATCTCCAAAGTACTTGCTGTGCGTGTAGATTATGGCAAACCTTCCTATGTAAAGGACGCCTAAAATTCCACAGTGCATTGTTACGGCTTGTTGTATTAATGATGATGAATTTCAAAAATAATAATAACATGACCTTTGAAACATCTAATCAGCTATAACATTACTAATTATAATCCCCATTTAGTAAGTGTGAGGCCAGTATTTTAATAAATACCATTAAACCGAGAATTTTAAATGTAGGCGTTAAATGAAGTGTTGCTAAACTCACGTGGGCCTCAAGGTGCAACCGACCTCTGCATTTCTGTCGCAAATCTTCCTAGTCACTTATGTTTTCCTGGTACCTGTTCGTGAGATGTTATGCATTTCTGTTCTAAATAATAGCAGATAATAATAATAAAACCATTGAGATAACACAACTTAGACATAACCCGGTTTTAACTCAATGAATAAAACTCGTTATTTTTGTTGTAAATGTTGTCATTTTGCATTCAACAACAATTAAATAAAAAGCATGTACACTTAGTACAAACTTTTTATTAATTGTATTTAAATTATTTAAGACCTTCATTATAAATATATATAAACTTATTTAATATTTAAATTCATGAGGCATTTTTTATCCCACACACGACAAGATTTCAATCACAATTTTCCCTTACCTACTTACTGTTTATATAATATGTATATGTATAAACTTGGTTAAATAAAAAAAGCAGGAATGTATACAGCATTTTTGACCATCTAACTCTGGGATCAAATAAACAAAATTAGTGAAAATAATTTAATCAACTTTATACTCTTTTCATCGTCTGCATTCCTAATAGATTTCATCAAGAAATCTGTCATATAAACTTCGTAATTCTGACATTTCATTGATAGCTGTTTGTTCAGTGACAAAATAAGATGTTTCACATAGCAGTATGAAAGGTTAGCGCACAATAATGTACTAAGTATCGTTTGTTTGCAGACCACGGTGTTACGTAACAGAGTATACGTAATAACTTGCACTATGTATCTAGAAGTACAAAATGCTGAATGGTGTCATAGTGCGATATGGTTAAATGACCGTAAAACTGGTAGATTCAATTTAACTCGTCGAGTACCGTCATTATAGACACAATTATAGAACAATAGGTTGCGGTCACCGGTGACCGCTTGGTGTTTGACAGTTTAATCAAGATTAGAATTACATACATACTACATACAGAACCTCATGGTTGTCTTCCATGGGGGTGGGCAGAGACTATAGAACGTCAATTGTTACGATTCAATTTTTGGTACATATTTTCTAAGCGAATGTGCTAAATTTAGTGTTTAAAGCCCACAAAGTACTTTAGTTTTTATTAAATAAACTTTGTCCCACACTATGATTGTCTCCTGTGTCGTGGGTGCGTTTACAAACATACAAGTTCATATACACATGACACCCAGACCCGGAACAACTATTTGTACCAATGGCGTAGCAATTTTTTTTTATTTTATTAGAAATAGAAGACACGGCTCCTTATTTTACTCATTATGTAGATATTATGTAACATTTTCTTAACAATAATCCCATTAGTGTTGTTAGAAAATCGACCTAATTTTTTAAACACTAATAAGGAGACGATCTTCACATTAAATTGCATAAGTATAACATTTAATGCATACATAATGAGAATTTTATAACACAATCACGCTTCAGCAGTTTTTATTTCTAAACCAGGGCCGAAGCACACATGTACAATATGGACACTCGCCACAAAAAGCATTTTCGTGCGAATTAAATAAATAACTGCCTTCAATAATGTTTAATTAAGGTTTTAGAGATAATTCACATCATACAAGCGAATAAAAACCAAATGAGGTCATTAAACCTTCCATGGATCTTAATGACACCCGCTCTACGTTGAGTAAAAGTTTTCTGTGGTTTTTGTTACGAGCGGATAGCGATTTAAGAAAATATGAATCTGAATTTTAATGTGTTATTCGCGTTTTTTACTAGGAACCTAATAAACAGAAAGTTTTGATACGTCAAATAGACATAACATAACATCATGTCTTTTATCCTCAAAGGGGTAGACAGAGGTGTACATTACGGCACTTAATGCCACTGTACCGTATGTATCACCCACTTTTCACTATTTATGTTATGAGTCCCATGTAATTTTCGTAATTTTGTGTTAATGAAGTTAGATTCGTTCTACATGGATTGGTTTGAAATAGTTAATACGTGAGAAGTAGAACAAGTAAGCATAAAATCATTAATGTTAACATCATTACTTGTTTAGATTTTAGTGGGATAAATGTAGCCTATCTGTTATTCCAGATCACAATCTACCCCGATTCCAACTATCATCCCGATCCCTTCAACCGTGTTGACGTAAAGAAGTAACAGACAAACATACATATATATATATAAACTTTTGCATTTATACTATTATTAGTAGCATAGCATACTCATAGAATTTAATAATACATGATCGACGAGAACAGTATTTTTTTTTCATTTGATTGACATTCAAATAAAATAAAAATAAGAACAGTCTTCACACAGACGCACTCGCTCATCGTCTTTAGCTTACACCGTCATTGGCTAAGTAATGTTATTGGCAAGTGACCATTTGCTTTCGTAATCGGTCCACTGGCGACTGGCTACCGATGTGGGACATATCGCCACACCAAATATAGTAAATATTAACACAATTTCGTACTATGTAAGTACCAAAGAGATTGGTTAAAAATTAGGCTAAGAATCTAAACTAATTAGTTATAATTATAGTCATGAGACGAGCTAATTTTATTGTTATATTTTTTTGTTAAAATACTAGTTGGACACTTATACAAATTATCTTAAGTCATTCTTCTTAAGAATAATTCTCACACAAAGATACGAAACCCATTATAACCCTTAAAATAATTGCCAAAATCCACTTATAAGACGGCCCTACAAAAACGCCAGTCATTGCAGTTTCTACTATACCTTTGTTATATTTTTCCTTTTGGTTTGTGTCTGGACCTGGCCTTACTTTAAATTTTTTGAGAATCGATTAAGAATTCCAATATTCCAAATGCTTAAGTGACCATAAGCATGACTACCAAGCAAGGGACTTTGGGTTTGTTCCTCGAAGCGCGTTAAGGACATATTTTATTTTTCTGAAATACTAGGCGGTCATGAAGTGTTTCACACCATATTATATCGGACTAGTGAAAAGAGTGTGTTCTAAAAACCCTCAATATATTTAGAGATATTAGTAACTCATCTAGCTATCGGGTCACTATATCCATATCTTACAAACCCACATCAAATATTGATGGACCATAAAAATACATTACATTTCACAACCAGACTATTTGCTGATGATGTCTGTACCCATATTTCACGATATAGATTATCATCTGAACTTTGAACTGGGTTTGTGTGCGATGAGATTATAGTTAATAATGATAGCTTTGTGTGAGGCAATAAAACAACATGTACTTCCATAATAAACAATATGAATGAATATGAAAGAAGACGTGAATGAAGCTAAATACCAACAGAAGTGAAAGAATAAAAACTAATTGTTTTATTCGCTTGGTTTGGATGTCGATTAGAAGAATGGATGGATGGACTGTGTGACGAGTGACGCGAGAGAAAAGAACGTTAGATATTTGAAACTGTATGATAGAAGAAAGTAGAAGAATAAGGAATACAAGACAAAAAGAAAAAGGAGATTGATTTATAGAAAAACATGTAGTTGTTTAAAATCGTTTTAATGAATGGATACAACGTTCTACGTTCTGCAACGTGCTGCTTAAAAGGTAGCATGAAGAGAAGTATTTTATAATACCTATCGTAAGACACACTAAATTAATTAAAAAAACCGATTTGCTCACATGAAATAATGACAAAAGTTCTACATAGTTTGAGTCATAGAGGGACTCTTCATTATGAGCAGCGTGCATGGATGCGGCTACGCGTCGTGGGCTATGCTACGTTGAAAATAGTACAGATTTTCTCATTATTCCATTTGTGTAAACTGGTGTTTTTAATTAACGAAGAGAAGTTGCTTTCAAAATATTTGTCTGAAAGACAACTTATTTTTTTAAGAGACATTTTGGAGACAAAGTAAGCACATTTCAGTGTTTCTCTAAAAACACATCAATAACAAAAGCTTTTCTTTGTTACAGGAACTTTGGTGCAAAATGCGGTTAAAGCCACGATTGTTGGTGATGTGAACAACGCAGTCGCCCCGATGTACGATAACACGAGAAGGTATGAATCATGCTCATTGACAAATATTTACTGCTACTGCAAAGATCCTATAGAAATTCATGTTACTTCTCATTACGATAAGTATACAATACATTTAGGTTCCATTTTGGTATATCTTATTTTCAAATATTTAAGTCATTTTCAAACGCAATTAACCCATCTGAACATAAAGAATCCATCTTTGATCTACGAATCAATGTTTCTAAGAACATTATTTGGATACTAACCAAAAGGCTGTCAATTTTACAAGCCGGGTCTAAGTCGGTAAAACTTTTTACAGATAAACAAATACCGATGATACCGAAACGCAAACTGCCGAGTTGACGGTAACCAAAACAGTAACTGAGGTACCAAAACCTGGGTACCTCATCTACCCAATGACTGATGAAATTGTCAAGTCGGATAATGCCGAAGATGGCGATAAGGTAGCCAAAGATACAAAGGTCGATACCGAAACGAAGGAAACGAAAGAAACAAAACCGAGAACTGTATCATTTAATAGGGACGTACACGTGAAAAGATTCGGTGAGTTCGAACATCGATACCTAACTCGGTTACATCTTGTTCTATAGAGACGGGACTCTGTCGTTAACATACTAATTTTCCATTTATCTCTGTATCGGAAATCCTACAAAAGAGGTTGTAAATAACAAAAAATAACCGATTCACCTTGAGACTAATTCGTTCAAATTAATAAGACTAATTTTAATAACGTTTTCCTCTTTTTTGTTTTATTTTGTTTTGTGTCTGTCTTCCGTCGAAGCTTGTTCTTTTTAGGCAAAGTCTTGTTTTCCTATTAGCTTTTTGTACATAGACAGATTTTCTTGGTACTTTATGTTTTTGTTTGCAAAACTATATGCAACATTTTACAATGCAATTGAATGCAGGATATGGTATTTGCATTTTATTTATCAATACAATACAGACCAAATTACGAATTCTTTTCTCGTGCCGACTCGAGTTATGTTAAGCTCATGACTAGTATGTTAACTCACCAAAAACACAACAAAGAAACATTCGAATACGCCACAAATGTCAGCCATTGTACAAAATTCCTCCTCTTTGTAAATCACTTCCTAGTTTTAAAGGAACAAGTACTAGGACAACACGCTACATTAGTAGTTGCCGTTTAATAAACAAATACACAACAGTTAGATGAGAAATATGCCATCAATAGAATTAAATAACAAAGACAAGATAAGAAACAAGGCCACACCAAACAAAAAGCAATCAAAGAAACATAATTTGATCACTAATTGTCTGCAATTGAACGTGACGAATTATAATTGGCATATTTTACGACCAGACGGACCATCACCGTTTTATAAAACAAATATTGATACAGTACAACAGTTTATTCGTGAAATTGAGACGAAAGTGTAAAAGAAAAAAGACGTTAGACGTAATTGCTGTAACCATTTTGTAAGAACGATTTTTATTTATGTATTCCAGTGATTGGAATTGCAAATCTAATGGTTGTAGGTAAACATCATCTATCGAGTGAATTAAAAAGTTATTTATAGCTTGTCCACAAGATAGATATGTAGGAACGTTCATAAAAATGGTTTTATCCAAATATAACGTAAACAGATCTCTGACGTGATAGAAATGTTCTCAGATTTTATTGGGAACTTCTTGATCTTGGGCAACGTTCATCTTAATAATAATTTATGTCTAGTTACATTTGCAGTGGTTTTAAAACATACATTTTACATTTATAGGTGACATTTGCAGGAGCTTCTGGACATTCGCACATACATACATCTATCACATCACACGATGCTCACATTCTATTGGGATAAATTACGAAAAAGTTTATATCTTGATTTTGCCGTATCTCTTTCGCTTCTTCCATATTTATTCATCTCTATATAAGTACACTCGCAAATTGATGATATGTTTTTTCAGCGTGTTCTTTTTCCTTCTTGAATCAATTGCCATTTTTTTCCATGACCGAATCAACTTCATACTCATCATCGTCATCATCATCATCCCATTCAACTATAGGACGTTTTATGCCTTCTTTGATACTACGCCATTAGTTTCATCTTCAGCTATATTTTCCTAATTTTCATAGTCCCAAACAACTTTGTCTTATTTCTTGCTGTTAAATTTCATTATTAAACTTTGGAGCTGGTTTTATATGTGTGTCTTTGTGTGGGTAATAAGGTATCTTGCGTTTTATTACTTATTTTATTTAATTTTTAAGTGCTTACTGATTTGATTTAAATATTGTAGTTTTTAATTATCATTTTATCATGTCGGTTCGCCTTCAAGTCTTAGCTAATGTTCAGTGCACTGAAGGTCATTATTTTATGGTCTCCATGGAACATTAATTTGTTCTGTTGTTTTTCTTGTTTTAAGTGCACCTGAGTATCATTTTTATCATGGAACGTTTGTAAGTAATTAAATAGTTTTTGCTTGTTATTCGTTAAGTATGGCTTCATATTTGGAAGTTTTTGCATTGCAACCATTGGCTTTTGGACCCAGATAGAAGAATAAGATATTAATGCTATTTCTAGCGGCTTCTGCCAGTTTTGCTCCAATCATCAGCTTGCGGGTCCCACGCAAATTACTTACGTGTTGTGCTGGCACCAAATACAAATTATGAGAAAGACATGTAAAACGTCTTCCTCTCCTTAGTTTTTCTAACAGTTGTCGCTTAGTGACTATTCCTTTGAAAGAGTCGAGTTAACTTAAAACTTGTTTTTTCGAGTGAGGTTTTAAAAAAAGCTTGTATTCAGGTAGATACTAGTGACCTTGACCGTTGTCGGTTGATGTTGTGGACAAATTTAAAATAAATAAACAGAATAACTGAAGAATAGCATTGTTGTTTTTGTGAACAGTTTCATATTTTGTCATCTGTTACAAAGGTGTTTACTGAATGAAGTTCATAGATTACTTTAATCCCAGGTTTATTTTGTACAGCCTGAAATTGTACTAATAATTTTAATATATTTTTTTTGTGAGTAATTCATTGAAAAACTTAAATTAACTTCAATCAGATAACAATTCAAATAGACAAGTACTATTTATTAACATCAATAGTAACTATTCTGACAAATCGAACGTAATAAAGTTAAAACACTGAATAGACCTATTAAGCCTATCTGTACCTATTCGTGAAAAAGGGCATACAAATCCTTTTAATTCCATCATTAAAGTAAGAATTATTGCGTAAATTCTAACAATGTTTAACAATGCTCAACCGGCTCTAGGCATCTAGGTCCGGCTTATCAAAACATCTGTCCTCGCATCAATGCAAAAATGTTGGAACGCTTCATGGAATAATGATCACTTTAGAAGGATTTTACACAACTCCTTGGTTTGGAGTTGTAAAGGAAAAACGTCAGTTTTGGTGTAGGCTACGATTGGATTTACTATTGTTGAAATTACTATTTCGAAATTCACAGTTATATCACTCACCAGTGTAGGATAAGAATATTTTTTAATGTTTTTATTAGAAGTAACAGTCTACAGGCCGCCTAGTTGTAGCCTTACGGACGATTTCAATTAAAAATCACGTTTACTCACGTTTCGAGTCACAGAGAGACTTTTCCTCATGAGCAACATGCTGTAGTTTTTAGTTAATTTAGTATTTCTTACGACTATGTCTTATTATAAAAATCTATGGCTTGTGATCGATTTTTGACATTAGTTTTATGAATATTTTGGAAAAGATATCAATCCAGAGGATTTGGATTGAGTCCGATTTATTTATTTTATCTGTTACACCCGAGGCATCACGAGTGTTTTGGCGATCGCGAATTTAGAATAAAATATTCTGAAATAATAGCTGCATTATTTGAGATAGTCGTAGTAGTCTCAAATAATAGTGTAGTAACATTTCCAAACATTAATCAGGGGTCAATTAAAATCGTGTAAGTTCTGACCATTGATCTAACCTCTGTACATCTGTATTAAGATTTAAGCAGTGAGGTTATGAAGGTCATACAGCAGTTGCTTCGTGTAAAATATTGAACAAATATAATTTTTGATGCATGTGAGTGCCCATGTAAAGATTTTTGCTATCAAAATTTGCAACGTTTGTAACTTTTCAATGCATATACTTATAAAAGTTTGTGCAATGATTTTAACAATATTAAAAACTTTTTTAACCGATTTCCTAAAAAAGGATAGGAAGGAAGGAAAAAGGAGATTCTCTGTATTTTAAATGTTAGTGCGCGATTATCTCGCGATTGGTTAAACCGATTTGATTTTTGATGTTCTTCGGAAAAGTGTTTGTTACCCTTAGAAGTTAGTTAATAAATATACTAAATTGGTAAGAATTTCATTCATTTCATAAAAAGAGGGGGTTGTATTCGGTTTATAAAAGGACTATTACGTTATTTTGATCTATCCAAACACAGAAAATCTGCGTTGTTTCGATATCGACGCTTACAACAACCAGCATGATCGTCTGTGTAATATGTCTATTAGCTAAATGTAACCACAAAGCAACATTCCCGAAAAAAATCAATCACTCATGTTTCTGTGTTGATTAGACCATTTACAATTTTCTTTATCCACCACTTTTTCTATAGTTAATCCTATCAAAGCATGTCCATCTACAAACGTTTCAATCACCACGTTAGACATTACATCAATTTTTTCACCAATCATTGTTACATCGACATCAGTGAGCATGTCTTGATGTTCATCTTCATTAAGGTCAACAAAAACTTTGACATGAACATCATTGTGAACCTTATCATGATTAAAATAGAATCGTTAATCAGTAGGGAGTGACAGATAGTCATCTTCGCAAACATTGTGTTGAAGATTAATTTGTAGTTGTTTTTATTGTTATTAAGTTTTCTAATCTATGGAATGTGTCACGTGTTTTGTAACTCGAAGACCAAGATATATCATATAAGGTGATCTGTAAGTGGACTCAATTTTTGCTAGTAACTTGAGAATCAGTAGAGCTGGCAATAATATATTTTTTTAAACGTTGCCCCACACTAGGATTTTCTCCTATGTCGTGGGTGCGTTTACAAACATACAAGTTCACGTACACAATGACACCCAGACCCGAAACAACAATTTGTGGATCCGTGGATACGGATTCCGTGCGGGAATTGAACCAACCGTGTAGTCAAGTTGAGGGAGACGTACCTATGTATAGCATTGTATCTCTTAGGAATGATTATAGTCTTAACCCATTAAAGGTCAAATAAAAAGTACCAATATTTTTTATTAATTTTGTTTATTTTCGTAATCAACTGAGAGTATAAGAACAGTAAATGCGAGAAAAAAAACGGAAAATAGTATTTTTCATGATAATTTAGGTGTGTACTCAATTGGGTACACTGACCACCTAAGTATGAAAATTTTTAAAACACGATATTTCTACACAAAGTGTTTTAGCACTTTTTACATTGCCAACGTAGGTACTCTTGAATGACAAAGGACACATCGTAGTTGCTTTTAAATTTTTAGTGGATAGTGTCCAACTCCATTTTGCAGGATTGCACATTTCCGCCACGTAGGTTTTGATTTTGAAGTAGATTGGCGGGCAACGT